ATGTCTGGTTTATCCTTTTTTGGTCACAAAGAAGGAAGAGTTCAGGGATCCTTTCTAACTATCTCATGGGTCCTTTTCAGTATTTAGCTTACAGATGTGACCATGTCACCTCATCGAAGGCAGAGCAGGGCGAAGCTAACTGACCAATATCTCTGACATAGTCTATGAAAAATAAAAAAGGGTTGCATTCAAAGATCAGCCATGTCTTCAGGCACAACTGAGCTTAAAAGATCGAACTCAGATAAAATAATTCCCTTTAAGTCCCTGGAAACACGATGAAGTAATGATTCATGGGATTCTAACAACTATTTCCTTTTGTCATCTCTGTGTGTGTGTGTGTGTGTGTGTGTGTGTGTGTGTGTGTGTGTGTGTGTGTGTGTGTGTGTGTGTGTGCGTGCGTGCGTGTGCGCGCGCACACCCATGCAGATGTCTGTGGCTGGTGGGAATGAGAGCAGTGTGTGAGTAGGACAGGAAATGATGTTGGACATTCTCATGGTGAATCTAACCACTTTAAACATTCCCCAAATAAATCACACACACACACACACACGCACGCATGCACGCACACACACACACACGCACACTACCATGTGCACGCCGCAAACCCGAGAACGATGTCTAAACATTAGCATTAGAGCATGTGATCAACACAAGAAGAAGTGTTTGTCATAAAATCTTCATGTGATTTTTAGTTTTCAGTCTGCTTTCCACCCAATAAAAGCTCCCCATACTCACCAACCTCAGATTCAAAAAGAGAAATGAACAGAAAGGGAGAGAAAAGTGAAGGAATCTGAGTAAAAATAGTTTACATGTCTCTATTTGCTGATTTGTTTGCATTTGCCTGGGTGAGTCATCAAATCTGAAGCTTAAGCTGCTGATTTAATCCACTTGTAAAGAAGCTCAGAGCAAAGTGGCTGAGCAAGCCAAAGGTCATGTGGGACCACGAGGTAAGACTGGGTTGTGCCCAAGGTTTTTTTTTAATGCAATGGTAATTTTATCCAAATTTCCAGACAATTTTCTCACAAAAACATTGAAATTTTTCTATTATTTTAAGAATTGTTTAAAATGACGAAATCTATCTATGGTTCACTAAAAAGTTGTCAAATAGCACAAAAATCAGAGAATGCTCATTCAAAATCTGTCTAATTCGATTATCTGCTAACTTTTTTATTTAAGCATTATCACACGAAAGGGGGTGCGTTGTTGCTTAATATCAGCACTGGTGTGATCCGGTCATAGGCACTCGGCCTGCGGCCTCGTGCCTTAGATAATCACACCACAACGTACTCCCTCTCGTGTGATATTGCTTTCATACAACAGTTCTACCTGCTCATTTTATTTTTTATAACAACAATAAGCAACAACAGATTGTGATTTGTTCATTTATTTAATCATTTATCAGGCTCCGCCAACACAAATAGTCCCAACACGAAACGGAGACTCAGACAAGGCTGTTGCTAGGCAACACAAACATCTTCTACAATAATAATTAGAACGCCTGTACACAGCGGAGCGATACTGTTTGTAAACAGTCCCAGTGCTGTTATAGTCCAATATCAGCACTCTTGGAAAGTCTTTTGACCAATCAAATCACTTGGTCAGAACTAACTGTTGTATAATTGAATATATCAATGTTTACATACAAAAGCATTAAAGCTGAAACAGCAAGCGTCTGATGCGTTCTAATCACCACAAAAGAAATCTTTCCGATTGCATCAAGCATGTTTGCACATATGACAGCAACTATCCCTAACAGGCAAACGTAAGGGCCACATGAAAATCTAACCTAAAACTCAAGTTATTTATTCAGTTGCACAGGTGATAAGAAACAAAACTGAACACTTTTATTTTGGAAAGATCATTGATGCACAGCTCAGTCACAAAGTCATAAAGGAGCGAGGGTAAAGCTAATGATGAAGCTAATAGAGTAAACAAAGGAGTGACTATAAAAGTAGCTTAGCAAGAGCTTAACACACACACACACACACACACACACACAACAGCATGGCTTAACTTAACCTAACGTTCGAGGCTGTGGCTATTCAGCCAAGAAGAAACAATCAGCCGTGTGTTGTGAGGAACATGCAGAGGGGACTTGTCTCCCATTAGAGTTTTTCCAGTTTTGTCTGTTTTATTCACTAATTCAAAATAAACTTTGTTTCCCCTCAATTGTTGCCTTTTCATTCCTCCTGTCATCCATGAAATCCGTGAATCCTGCTCTCATCCAAACGGAAATGAGCAACTAAATTCAAGCTACTTCTCAATTCACACACACACACACACACACACACACACACACACACACACACGCACACACACACACACACACACACACACACACACACACACACACACACACACACACACGCACATTTCATTCCTCCACTCTGATTGGCTGGTTTGAATTTTCAAACTGGGAGCATGATTCTTTTTTCCCCTTTCTCAATCCCAGAACATTTGCACCCACTGACACACAGGATGTGCTTTCATCCTTTTTCCTTCCCCTCCTTCCAAAAACAGCCAGATGGTGAGACAGCAGCTGAGAGACAGACAGCAGCAGCGGGCGGGAAGCCCTTCGGGTGATACAAGCACAACACTCTTGTTCTTGGACTCCATAAAGGCCTCATTGTGTCCTCCTTAACGTGGAAAATGGAAGAGGAATGCTGCAAACTTAACAAAGAGCCACCAGCCCAGGGTCAGCGTGACAAAACACACTCGAATGCTTTACCCAGCGCTCGTTTGGTGTTTATGTACAGAAGCTCTTTTATCAGGGATTCCTGAAGTGACTGAGATGGCTGTTCCTGTGCACGTGGTCCGAAGGACGCTTGCATCAACTGTTAACTGAGTGAAGTCGGGTCTTTGTGAAGGGTTTTCGGGAGAGACTGAAATGGATCTCTGTGTGTGTGTGTGTGTGTGTGTGTGTGTGTGTGTGTGTGTGTGTGTGTGTGTGTGTGTGTGTGTGTGTTAACTAAATTAAAGAGCAAGTCACCCCCATCAGAGTCTAACTCCACTCCCACTTCATGTTTGAAAAATGCAATAGATGCTGTTGCCTAGCAGACCGAGAGGGCGGAGCTGCTAACAAATACACACACAGGCTCACGACAGCACTGTGACATCATAATGTACCAGTTTACATCATAGCATACCTCTTAGCCAATAGCGGTGGCAGATTTAAATTAAAATACAGTGCATAGTTTTTACCTGACAACGGCAGAACACTGCCAGTTTTAGGCAGAATATTTAAATTTTAACTAAGATGCACTGAAGTGCCAAATTATTGACGACGCGTGTCTGCAGCACGATTAGACACTCGTTTATTTAGTTTATCAGCAAAAAAAATGTTTATTTGTGGGTGACTTGCTCTTTAACCACAACAATAATGGGAGACTGATCTCACAACCGAAACCACAACCTCATGTCAGCATGAAGCAAATCAAACAACAAACGTCTTAAATCCATAAAGATGAATAAACAGGAAGGATCTCCCATAGAAAAGCCCCATTGGTAACGACATAATTAGGATTTTACCAACTAGCATGACGTAACCAGTAAGGAAAGCTCAAAGTCCAGCTCAGATAATCAGTGCTAAACATTTCTGTAGGCGTGTTCTTTGTTAATAAAATCTTATTTTGTTTATTTAGATGTCACTACACCTCTTGTGGCCTATTAGACAACAATTTTAATCATTTTTATTGGGGATACACAATCTCGACGTTAGCATAGATGTTGGCCCATGTTCGTCATTTTTAACACATTTGCATCGGTTCGATAAGTAGAACTAGGCCGATAATAAGACCCAATGCTTATTGGTTGGACAGTATACAACATTTTCCCAAGCAATATTCGTCTGTCTGAAAAATGACGATGGGCGTTGGTGACGCTTAGACGTATTGTTGGCCTGACACACACACTGCACAGAGCACTGTAACAGCTACAATCGTTCCTACTTCGTTTGCAGAAGCAGAACATGAAGGGTCCTCAGGCTTGAGGCTGTTGATTTCCAAATGACATTGGCTACTTGATGCGTCAATCAACACAAATGTTTCTTTGTTATGTTTGTTCTGTGTTTGTTTTCTGATTTCATTTTCTTTAGTTCTTCGTTGTACACAGTGTGATGAGGATTTGTTTTTGCCTTTGCCGACATGTTTCGACGTCACTGCCGTCTTCCTCAGGGTAACCACCGGATGTTGGTGGCGTCTGACGAAGACGGCAGTGACGTCGAAACATGTCGGCAAAGGCAAAAACAAACCCTCATCACACTGCATCACAAATGATTTCAACTAAATGTGAAAATTGGGGGAGGTGCTTCTGACCAATCGGCCAAAAGCTTTAGCCTCCGCGGAGTGGGGTTAACCCTTCACCTGTTGGATCAGGTATGATGACACTGATCAATAGTTTGAAGCTAATATGAGGATGCTAACAGAGGTAATGGTGAGAAAGAGACACGTCTGGAGGAAATTTTGAAGGTTTATCAGCTGTATTATGTTGGATTGTGGGTGTAAGACTTGTTAACTATTTTATTTGAGTACTTGGAGTGATTTTACTTGATCCTTTTGGATGTTAAAAGACCAGTTTTGTTTGAGATGGCTCTAATCTGTAAATGCCACAAAGCTTTGAATGGTAATAAGACCTTACTTTAAATTTCCAAAGCATTTACCATGTTCTAAGTTATTGTGGTATTTTTTATTAGCTTACCTATGGAATCACAAGAATCCACAAAGGTCAAGATCTGATGTGGAAGTACAAAACATACTATCCAATGACTCGGGGCCTATCGTTTATGGTCAATAAATGTGTCCGATCGCCACATTGTTTCTGTTTGTGCGTCTGTTTTTAGTGGGAGAGGGGATTTCAAGCAGTAATTGGTTTGTCATGTGACAGACAGTGATGGTTATTTCTAACCCAACTTGTTTCAGGCTAGTTAGCTAACATGCTGCCAGATTCTGAAATCACATAATGTAGCTCAGTATTTAAGATGCTAAGCTACCCTAAACACTTACCTTTACATCTTGCTCCAGTGTCCTTATCAGTTCTCCGTCCACGTGCCCTGTCTGCGCCACCCGGAGAGAGCGTCGCTCTGATTTCCTCAGCCGGTATTGCAGGATACGACAGGTCTTGTTGGCCTAAAAGAAGAGTTGCAGATGATGCTGAGCCTCACTTGTTACTTTGCTTCATGTTTGTGTGATGGGTTTGTTGTTAAATTATGCAAATAGACAGAAAGCAGCATTGAAGGAATGCAAACAGCTAGACATACGTTTGAGTTTGAATATTAAGTAAACACCGGCTGACGCGGGCATAACCCAGTCACAACTTGATGACTAGTAAAGTTTGGTAGTTTAAGCTCCTAAAATGACCTCATTGAGATAAAACATGGTTAGTGCGGAAAACCAACAGTATGGATATTTACGACAAAATGAGTTAAATGATTTGCCTCTACTTCAGATATTCTCCGAATATCTTTACGGTCATTAGTAGTCTCACTTGTTCAATGTGAATTATTTTATCATCACATTTAGTTTAAAGAGCAAGTCACCCCTTACCAGAGTCTTACTCCAATCCCACTTCCTGTTTGAAAAATGCAACAAATGCTGTCGCCTCGCAGACCGAGAGCGGAGCCGCTAACACACACACACACACACACACACACACACACACACACACACACACACACACATGCTCACAACGACATTGTGACATCATATGGTACCAGCTAACATTTTAGGGTACGTTTCAGCCAATAGCAATGGCAGATTTAAATTCAAATGCAGTGCAGAGTTTTTACCTGACAACGGCACAACAATGACAGCTTTATGCAGAAAATTTAAATTTGAACTGAAATGCACTAAAGTGCAAAACTATTGACTACACGTGTCTGCAGCACGATTAGACACACACATTTATATAGTTTATCAGAAAAAAATGTTGATTTGGGGGTGACTTGCTCTTTAAAATAAAACCAAGAAGGGACAACAGCTTAAATATGACTAATTAGCCCTTGATTGCGCTTATTTAGCTTTTCTGCATTGAAATAAATGTAGCGTTTAATGGATCATGCAGCTTTTTGTTACAAGCTTTGACCATTTAAACAGCTGAACCACTTAGACCAAACTTTAGTTCCTATAGTTTAACGATTAAAACTAAAAAAAAACTTGTAAGTGTGCTGCAGAAGTATCCAACGCTTTATAAACAATATACAGATGAAAAGGTTTTTAACGTAGTGCTTGAGTGTTCCTTGTAATTATGGGATTATTATAATGATGGAACGCCTTTGCAACATTTAACTTATCTAGCCTCTTGCTTTATCTCCAGATCAGGTATGATAAACAGATGAGTCATTCCCCTTTGAAATGCCTGCCTGTTTAAAAACCTTTAAGCCTTTTGCTGTACAGTCCCGTAGAGCACCCATCCGTACCTGCTCAAGCTGTTGCCGCAGTTCCTGCAGTTGGTAAACATCTTCCTCCAGGTACATGTCCCTCATCTCCAGCATCTCAGACCTCAACTCCTCCATCTCGTCCTGGATACGGTCAAAAAGAGAGTTTAGAAGTGCAGAGGTGGCCACTTTATACCTTATACATTACGTTCAGAGCTGCCATAAGACATATCATTACATTAACCTTCTAATGATCCTAATCTGTTTCATCAATCGCCGCTTGCTGTCAGTCACCTCGTCCTCTTAAATCGTTCTATTAACTGCAAAGCAATCAGAGTCGTCTTAAAACTGACTGCTGTGTGAAATTCTGTCAAGTCAGATAAAAAACGGTCATCATAAACACAGAGTAAGATGCTGTTAGCAGCTTAGTCACGAAAAGAGTCATGCAATATAACATTCTGGCATTTTATTGCCACATTTTCAGCGCATTAATTGGGAGGTCAATGGGGAAGTCTCACTATTCAGTTGGTCTCTGAGGAGAGCGGTAAGCAATAAAAAGAAGACAAAACATTGAGCATAACTAGAAAGGAAATCCAGCGTGAATGACTTGAAGTAATGTTGGAATCCACCTCTCTTTTAGAAAAATATAGATCAATAATTCATTTCAGCCTCAAGCATGAATTGCATCATCTCTCTGAATCAGACTTTAGGTGCAGCTATTGTTGCAATGAAATGATTAGACCTTTGCATGTGCAATGAGCGTAGCGGGAAACAGGAAAAGGATTGTATGTGGTGGTAGTAGTAGTGGTGGTGGTGTTAGTAGTAGTGATGGTGGTGTTAGCAGTAGTATTAGTAGTGGTGGTGGTGTTAGTAGTAGTAGTGGTGGTGGTGGTGTTAGTAGTAGTAGTGGTGGTAGTGGTGTTAGTAGTAGTAGTGGTGGTAGTGGTGTTAGTAGTAGTAGTGGTGGTGGTGGTGTTAGTAGTAGTAGTGGTGGTGGTGGTGTTAGTAGTAGTAGTGGTGGTAGTCGTAGTAATAGTAGTGGTGGTGGTGTTAGCAGTAGTATTAGTAGTGGTGGTGGTGTTAGTAGTAGTAGTGGTGGTGGTGGTGTTAGTAGTAGTAGTGGTGGTAGTGGTGTTAGTAGTAGTAGTGGTGGTGGTGGTGTTAGTAGTAGTAGTGGTGGTGGTGGTGTTAGTAGTAGTAGTGGTGGTAGTGGTGTTAGTAGTAGTAGTGGTGGTAGTCGTAGTAATAGTAGTGGTGGTGGTGTTAGTAGTAGTAGTGGTGGTAGTAGTAGTAATAGTAGTGGTGGTGGTAGTAGTAGTAGTAGTGGTGGTAGTAGTAGTAATAGTAGTGGTGTTAGTAGTAGTAGTAGAAATAATAGTGGTAGTAGTAACAGTAGTGGTGTTAGTAGTAGTAGTAGTAGTAGTAGTAGTAGTAGTAGTAGTAGTAGTAGTAGTGCTGGTAGTAGTAATAGTAATGGTGTTAGTAGTAGTAGTAGTAGTAGTAGTAGTGCTGGTAGTAGTAATAGTAGTGGTGTTAGTAGTAGTAATAGTAGTCGTAGTAGTAATAGTAGCAGTGTTAGTAGTAGTAGTAGGAGTAGTAATGGTAGTCGTAATAGTAGTGGTGTTAGTAGTAGTAGTAGTAGTAGAAGTAGTAGTAGTAGTAGTGCTGGTAGTAGTAATAGTAGTGGTGTTAGTAGTAGTAGTAGTGGTGGTAGGAGTAATAGTAGCAGTGTTAGTAGTAGTAGTAGTGCTGGTAGTAGTAATAGTAGTGGTGTTAGTAGTAGTAGTAGTGGTGGTAGGAGTAATAGTAGCAATGTTAGTAGAAGTGGTAGGAGTAGTAATGGTAGTCGTAATAGTAGTGGTGTTAGTAGTAGTAGTAGTGGTGGTAGGAGTAATAGTAGCAGTGTTAGTAGTAGAAGTAGTAGTAGTGCTGGTAGTAGTAATAGTAGTGGTGTTAGTAGTAGTAGTAGTGGTGGTAGGAGTAATAGTAGCAGTGTTAGTAGTAGTAGTAGGAGTAGTAATGGTAGTCGTAATAGTAGTGGTGTTAGTAGTAGTAGTAGTGGTGGTAGGAGTAATAGTAGCAGTGTTAGTAGTAGTAGTAGTAGTAGTAATGGTAGTCGTAATAGTAGTGGTGGTAGTAATAGTAGTAGTGTTAATAGTAGTAGTAGTAGTAGTAGTAATGGTAGTCGTAATAGTAGTGGTGGTAGTAATAGTAGTAGTGTTAATAGTAGTAGTAGGAGTAGTAGTAGTGGTAGTCGTAAAAGTAGTGGTGGTAGTAGCAGGTTTTTGTAATTCGCTACAGAGGATAATGCGGGTCAGCTCTACTGTAGCAACAACAAGCTCTAGGGATGTGAGAGGATGTGTGCGTGGAATATGAAAGCGAGTCAGAGCAGGATTTGAATTTGTCTCTAACAAAAGGAGAAGTAACACGTTTCATTTAAACAATGAATCTGTCTGAGATTGTTATGAATCCACGTGCATGTCTGCAAGCGATTTTGTGTGAAGAGATAGGAAATAACAGGAAGTAATCTCTGCTGACTGTGCTGCACATCTGTAAGATGGAATCAGCATGAATAAGGAGGAAAAGCAACAAATTAAAGACAGGAGATGAGAAGAAAAGGGGAATAAAAATCAGGGGAGCAAATAAAGCAAAAACATTCTGCAGAGAAAAGGTTGACTTAACCTACAATAAAAAAACAAAACGTGACAGTGAAGTGAGAACATGAGACTAGGGGATCACAAGTTCATGTGGCTGACAGAGACAGAGTCTGTTCCACTGACCTGCTTTTCACAGCTCACTAAGAAAGAAAAGGGGAGATTGCCTCTCATGTGAGCACCAGCCAGTCAGGAGAAGGAACCAAACCAATTAGCCATCATGCTGAAGAGCCAGACATTTTAATAAAAACCACAAGCCCCTTTTGCCAAGTCGAATGCATCCCTAATCCAATATTTATTCTGGTTTGAACTCAAATATTTTACAAATGCTCTCCTTGGGTGCATCTATTTATTTATCGTGTTTACAACCAGCAACATTTATGGTTTTTGCACATGGCGGCGTTAAAACTACAAAGTTGTTGCACAGATTTCTTGTTAATGATTTGGTGAATATTTCTGTTCTTTGTTGATCTTTTTTTCCCCACAAATGATTCAAACGTTTCAGAAAAGAGGAAGAAAGCAGTCCTGTGACAGAATGTCTGAGGCAGACCCTGACTGTGAAAATTTAAACCAGAAAACTCGGAAGAATCATACAAATAATCTGAGTCATCATCTGAGTAAAATTTCTCAGCCATTTTATATGTAAGATTGTGCAGATTTTAAATCTAAATCTGATCTCATTGTACCATTTTTAAGGGTTTTGATAACGTTAGGGCTAGGGTTAGTTACTGGTCTCAAGTATAAATGAATGCCTTGTGAGTGGATCTCTGATGGAACAAAGCTGTGGCGCTCCGTTTTCAGGAAGGAGAAGTTTTTAGAGGAGAAGGGAGCAAATCATGACCGCATTGGAGTCTTACTTCCTGATATTCAGACATCTCACCCCTGATTGGATAACAACAGCACGGCTCTACCACTGACTCCGTTTTCTTTGCAATGTTGATGGTTTACCTCCAGAAATAACACAAGCCCAGAGAAGTTCTGCTGTGTTGTGAAGTTGCTCATGCTAACGGTTAGCTTCTACTAGTCAAGACAGGGCGGCGATCTGCTGTCTCCAGGACGCTGAACAAACAACAGCCTTCCCCGCCGTGAGTCAAGATGGATGAGTCCATGAATGTAAGTATGACATAGATTTGTGTGGTTTCTCTAATCCGTCTATTTTCTATTGGCGACTAATGCAGGAAATAGGGGTAGAAGAATATTTTCACATTTAGCCTGTACAAGAAACTCAGACAGAGCTTCTCAACTAAAAAAACACTGACCTGCATCTTTAAATCTCAAAAATAAACAAAATTTTCTTGTGTTTAAGAGTTGTTAGTTTTGGTTAAAGAGCAAGTCACCCTCAAACCAACTTTTTTGCTGATAAACTGGTACTCTGGTAGGGGTGACTTGCTCTTTAGGACTTTTTGGGGGTTTTTCTTCTGAAGGACCTAATATTCAGCGATGGTGGTGGTATTTATTTGTATCAAACTCTTATATTCATAAGTGATTAAAACACACACATACACACACACACACACACACACAACTTAATTTGCAAGGCGTGTTCTGCTGGTTAGTTAATTTTAAGTGCTTTCTTTTAGCTCATTCAGCCTCATTCCACCCACCAGAGCGCTGCCTGTATCACCTGTGCACCACACGACAAAAACTCTCCTCAGTCTCCCTCATTGTCAGTTATTCAAGTTAAGTTGTAGTGAATTTAAGCTCAGTCAAAAATCTAAACTATTTAAAATTAAATTAACCCTCCCACTGTCCAAATGAGTGTGACCCCGCGAGGAAAGTTGACCATTGAGCAGGGCTGATGGTTTATCCCTTGGGTCCACGTGGCAGGGGTGAGGAGTGAGCACCACCTCACCCCTGCCACATGGACCTCAAGGGATAAACCATCAATCCTGCTCAATGGTCAACTTTCCTCGCGGGGTCACCCATAAAGACAGTGGGAGGGTTAAAAAAGAAAGCTGGAAGTTTGACTGAATAGAAAGCATACAATATTTCTGACCTGCAAAAATTTTAAAGATGAATTTAAAACACAACGAAAGGCAAAGTCGGGGTAAGATTTCAACCTATAGAAGAATGAAACAGAAGCTGCACAAACTGAACATGCTAAACAATAAAACAGAGAGACACAAGGGGCTCAACACTAAAGAATTGTGGGAAAAATGGGTCAAATGAAAAGAAAATCAGACTAAATATTGCCCAAGGACTTAGAGGTACTCTGACACCTCAGTATGTTGTTTAGATTATGATTACAGGACCAGGTGTTCCCACAGCTGCAACATCACTTGACTGCACATCCTGTGCTCCAAAAGGTAGCTCTAAGTGATGTCCTATATTCAGTCTTCACCCCTCTATAGGTGGCAAGAGGAAATACTTTGTCATTTTTATTCCTTTCGTTTAATAGGTCGGACAAGAATGAAGAAACACACATTAGAGAAATTGCAGCTTAAAAACCAAATGATGAGGAGGAACAATCACAATATTCTGTTCACAGCTCATCAGTCTCTCTCCTAATCAATCTGTGACAATTACTGGCTTGTCTGGCCAATGACAGCAAGTGCTTCAGGACATGCTCCTTATTGAGTCCTTCCTTAATCAATCCGTCTGACTGTAAGCTTGACCAATGGATTCATCTAGATTTCATTTCACCCCTTGCTGCCAAACTGAGGGACATGAAACACTTTCTATGTCAGAAACTGATGATGGTCCCACTGCGTTGAAGAGAAAGAATGAAATGTAAAGATTTTCTCAATTGAAAATATAACAAGCTGTTTTCTTTGTTTTTCTGAGGCTAGGAGTGTGTTTGCTAGTCTGAATTAGCTCTAAAAATTTGAAAAGGGGGGAAAAATACCTTGAACTTTAACAGAAATGCATTTATTGGATATTGGATGTGAGAAGTCCACATATTTTTTAGCTCTTTATGCTTGATGTTCTATTAACAGCAAAATATCAGAGGTTCTCTAACTTTTATAATCAGTAATAGTTTTGTCTATTGGGCTTTGTTTATAATTTGCTTATTTTTACTTATTTCAGTTGCAAATTGGGGAATTCCAATGTGTTAATTGGATGAACCATAACATAACCATAACATGACAAAACACAAATATGTTGCAGTGATAAATTATTGAAAAATGTGGGAAAAAATAAAGACAAATGGATGAAATATCGAATCTTACGAGAAAAATGAATTATATTTTTCTTCAGTTGTTTGGAGCACAGGTCAAAGACAGAAACAGGTCTTTGTGCTGACATCGCGTTTTGACGCAGACGCCACTGAGCTGGCACCAATAATAAACAGCTGCGGTTCCTCACAGGTGATGCCAAATGAAAGACTTACTTTGAGGTAATCATTCTCAGACCTGAGCTCCTCTATCTCCCTGAGGTACTCCTCATACATGCCGTCCGTAAACTCCTCCGTGAGGTCTGAGAACGCCAGGGATGTGCTGGCGGGCACCCTGCTGTCAAACGAGGTCACCGAGCGCTCCTCGCCGGGTGAAGTGCTCCCCTCAGCGGTGTCGATGCCCGGATTAGGTCGGTTCTTATCGTGTCTCTCTGCGGCGGAGCAGGTGGTCTTGGTAGCGGCTTGTGAAGCAGCTCTGTCCCCGAGCGGCTTCTCTCCGTCCGGGCCGCGGCTGCTCCTGGACTCGGCGTCGCTGCTCCCAGCATCCGCCGACAGCTTGTTCTCCTCGGAGGCGCAGTCCGACAGCTCGGAGCTGCTGTCGGTCGGGGAGAGCTTCCCGGCGGCGCATCCGGAGTCCTTGGATAAATCATCGGATCCAGTGCTGGCGTCCGACACCTTTCTCCGCGCGCTGGTGCTTTTAGCCGTCTTGGATGCCGGGGACTTGGACACGCTTCCGCCGGAGAGAGATGACTTGCCTCCCGTTTTACCACCACATTTCTCCGCTTTTCCTTCCATCCCAGCGAGGCTCCCCACCGGGCTGCGTCTGGAAACGCGGCTACCCAGATGGATGGCTCCGGGCTTGACGCTCAGGGTCGGGGTCCCAATCCCTCCGCGGATCTTTGTAAACGACCAGCCGGGCACGTCCTTCGGTCTAGCCGGGGATGGCGCACGGTTACTCTTTTTCTTCTCGCCAGTCTTCGGAGCGGGAAGCCCGGGAGCCTCGGACCGGGGCGGCTGACCGGGCACCGCGTGCTGCGCCTGGCCGCTGTCCGAGCTCTCCGTCCCGCCTCCGCTTTCCATCTTCTGCCGGAGATGGAGTCTCCGTTGTTTGGGCGAGGCGAAGAAGTGAGTCGCAGAGTTATGGACATCAACCTCCTTTGTTTTTGTCATTCATTCCGTTTAGAGCGACAGAGAGGCGGAAACAAACCCTCTCTGTTCGCTGAAACAGGAGGCAGAAGTTGAAGAGAAATAAAACAACTGCAGAGCAACACAAAGGAGATTCACTCCTCTCAGAGCTGCAGCACGACAGGAGGAGTCGGAAAGGGCAGGATCCAGAATCTGCAAAAACGCAAATGATCATCCAAAGATAAACACGTTTAGAAACGATCCCACTTTGTTGTCTTCCCCTCCTCCCCTTTAGAGATTCTTTGCCAGTGAAGCGAACCGGTTCCTGCTCCGAGAGTTGGTGGGTGAGAACAGGGAAGCAGTGTGATCACTGTCTCTCTCCTCCTCCCTCCCCCAGATAATAATGGGATGGACGAAACTGGAGCTCTCTATCGCCACCACTGCGAAGTAAACAAGCTCGTTTTCTCTCCTCATTATTAGATTAGCCATTCAAATAAAAGTGCCTGTAAACAAGATGGTTTTGGAGGCAACAGATCAGATCTGTTGAAGTGTATGAAAATGTAGACAATGAGTGTTTCAGCTGTTGTAGATGGCTCTTTGAAGGGCCTCAGTGTGGATAAACAGAGATCGGGCTGGCAAACCTTTCCAAAGAATGCATTAATGTCATCTAAAGCCTGAGTCATGCGTCTGCATCAGTGTGGAGACACGCAACACCATTAATCCGTCCTTGCAGGCTTGCTGGAGAGATCGGTCAGTCGAGATGGAGAATGCAAGCTTGTGATTGGTCAGGGCACCGCTGTCGTCTACACCACCGCGCCATTGCGCCCTCAAAAATATAAAGAGAGCCGAGGATAACTAGCGGCAGACACCGAGAAGATTGAAGAATACCTCGCGAAAAAACATTAAAAATATGAGCGTTTAATTCCCCCATGACTGGAGGAGTGAAAAGATACGCAGCAGGCGTTTAATTTGTGGACGGAAATGACAGGAAACGTGGGTTTAGAGGTGGCGAGCCCATGAAGAGGTGGAGGAGAATGAGAGGCAAATTTGTCCATGTTAAAAAGCCTCTTATATTAAAAAAAACACAATACAAACACACTATCTTGGACCAACACATGACAGGATACCACAGAACAGCGCTATGCCCTCTGTTGTCCTGGCAGGGAATTGCTTTGCAACACTCCCCAGGAGATGGCGAAGTATGAGGGCAAAACGTCTCCATCCGTGCGTGCGTGTCTCTCCCTTTTGGAGCTGACGGAGAAGCATGACTCGGGCTTTACCCTAACACCCTTAAAGCGTATTGGACCATTTTCCACCAGCCACAATGCCTGTTGTTTTGGATGCGTCCCAGTCCCAGAAATGTAGTATTGCATCGTTCTGCTAAATGTACACTTCAGATATATTTTTCATGCACTAGGCTTCCAGAACGCATCAAGCTCAGCAGTTTAGAGCATCAACATTTAGCCTGATTGCATTGAGATCAAACAACTGACATGGGACAGAATGTACCCCATTTCACAGCTTCTCTGTTGCTTTTGTTGTCTTCAGGTTGGCGTCTATCTACTGAAGCCACTTTCAATCAGAATATAGCTTTGTTAGCCAGAATACACACATTTCCTCCTGATAATTCAGTTTTTGATCACTTAATCATTACCATTGACCAACAGGCTAATGAGAACTGACCAATTCTTGCAATGCGAACCCTAAACCTGCTCAAAGCCCTCGATCAAACAAATGATTGGATTCTGCAATTGGCTGTTAAACACATTTTAGGATCTTGCTCTAAAGCTTCAAAATCAGGACGGAAGTGAGTAAACAAGCCGATGGCACCTTGAGACCTTATTTCACCCCACTCTTGACAAATTTCTCAATTTAAATCCAGAAAGAAGCACCCAACCAACTAATATGCACACAGTGAGCATATTTCACTAATTATGGGTGAGGAATACTCTGACGAGCCTCACTTTGACGTTCCGTCTGGGTAATGAAGTGTGATACTGTCTGTTCTACTTTCCTCTTCCAAAAAAAAAAAAAAAAACAACATAAAGTTGCTGTCTTTGCAAGTTACCCAGAGTCCAGTAATTGGAAGTCAGTCGCTGCAGCATGTGGAGGTGCACATAAAGCTGAGATAGACACATCAGCAGTGCTGCTTATTTTCTGCCTGCCTACATCAGGCCTTCTATTAGAATTAATTGTAAAAATAATAATGGATTAGATTTATTTATTTGTAACGCTCTTTTTACTGGTCTCAGCAAAACCTCCCTCTCACGCCTTCAAGCCATCCAAAATGCAGCAGCCAGACTCCTAACCAAATCCAGCAGACGAGCTCACATCACCTCAGTTTTACAGTCCCTCCACTGGCTCCCGGTAGAATATAGAATACAGTTTAAAGTTTTAGTCCTGACCTATAGAGCTCTTAACAACCAGGCTCCAAGCTACCTATCTGAGCTTTTATCCCCACACATCACCTCTCGGAACCTTAGATCCACATCTGAAAACCTCCTGGCTGTTCCTCGAACCAGACTGAAAACCAAAGGGGACAGGTCCTTTCAGACTATTGCACCCAGACTTTGGAACAGTCTACCTTCAAATCTCCGTCTCTCTAACACTGTAGAGATCTTTAAAAATCATCTAAAAACTCACCTTTTCATCCAGGCGTTCCCTCCCTAAATGTTTCAAAAAATGGCTTTGTTCGGGTTCACCTTCACTTTGTTTATTCTCATGATTTTATTTTCTACTTTATCACTGCTATTGTTTTTTGGATGTTTTTATTGGTTAGAGGTATTTGCCCTGATCTTTATCATGTTGTACAGCGCTTTGTGATTTATATCTGTGAAAGGCGCTCTATAAATAAACTTTTACTTACTTACTTAGCGCACTTCAGCACTCAAAGCATTTTCCATTATTCATACACACATTCACACACTTCCAGTGATGGTAAGCTGTACCACAGCCACCGTGGAGCGATCGGACCCACCGGACCCTCTGACCACCACAAACACAGGCAGGTTGGGTGATGATGTGTCACAACAGCAGAGTACACTGGTGGGAGGTGGGATCAGTCCTGCTACCTCCAGAGCTTCTGCTGCCCCAAACTGTTATGAGCTCTTACAATTTAGTTACCACAAGTTTTATTATAACTGTTAAATTTAACTAAATCTCTGTAAGAATACCAAAAGTGTTACAAATCTCTGCTCTTCATGTTTTGTTCCCCGTGAGAACCGGAGGGGGAAATTGTTGTCCTCGTGTGGCCTGTTGTGTCTTGAAAAAAATGTTTCACCTTGCTCTCCTTCCCTGAAGGCTATAGTAGCATAAACATCAGACCCAAACTGCTGATTGTGCTTTCTCCCATAAGCTTGTGCAGTACAGAACAGAACTAAAGGACTGAAAGTCTTTAGATGGGCTACTGTGTTGATTTAATGATGATCTAAGCTTTGATGAACCCCATTAGGAGCTGAAAGTCTGTTATTTAGACTAAACTTCATCATGAATGCCAGCTGTCTGATTAAAAAAAAACATAAATTCACCAGCAGGCAGTTTCATTAGATGTTTTTTTACTTAACCACTCTTGTAAACAGAAACTGACATATAGCCATAATATAAAATTTCAAACAGTATAAATAAAAATAATACAAAGTTCAAGCTTTTAGGGTACAGATAAATAAAATATTTGTTTAGCAGATCAAATTTTAAAATGCATGTGAACCTAGACCTGCATAAGAGATCTATTTGAAGTCTTTTACCTCCACCTAGTGTTGAGCTGCAATACTACAGATGGGGAACAAGGAGGAATAAAATAATTCTGCATATTTGAATATTTGCATAATAAATAAAAGTGATTTGCTTAATCAGATATAATTTTGTGTTTAGAGGCAACTTTCAAGCTTTATCAGTAAAGCCGATGCCAAAGCATCAATCAACTTCTTTGTGTGTGTGTGTGTGTGAGTGAGGTATGACTGTGTCTTTGTTTGTGCGGGACGCTCTGTCCCACTGAGAGCTTGAACAGAAGCCACCCCCAGTATTCATTTGTTCCATTCCTCCTCCCATGTCCTCACTGACCACATTTTATTCTCCTTTCTTTTCTCCACATCACACCATTTCGGTCGTTATATAATTCACAGCACTGCCTTTCTGGCTCATGCCATATTTTACTATTCTAACTCGAGCTTTATTGGACGGCTCAATAAAATTTCGAATTGAACGGCATTTTCCTTATAAAATAAGAAGTTTAACATATTTTAAAATGTTTTTATATTAATACTGAAAAACATACAACTAAACGAAAAAGGCACTCCTTCCCAATTGTAATGGTATTTTTCATTAAGAAAGATCATCCGAAAGTAGCTATTTTAAAAGAGGAGGGCATTCTCTCTTGTTTACGGGGCTCCAAGCAGAAAGTATACTCCACGATATATCACAGTCTGTCATAATATTGATTAAAAAAATGTTTAGCTAATGCTGACAGCCAACTCCAACCAGAACAGATAAACTTTAATATATTTAATAACATTGAACTTATAATTTTATGTGTAACTGGATATGTTTAAATTTAAGTTTTGGAGATCAACACTTGCTTTGATTTTTGTTGGAGAATGATTGAAATCTATTAAATGTTAGCAATTATTTATTTATTTAATTATTGTTTTAGTCGGAATGTTTTGTATGTCGCACCTAATTGGCCGCGGAGGTGTCCATCATTCAATTGTCTCCGCCCCCTCTGCCAGCGACTTCCGCTGCTGTGTAAAGACAAGGGTACTCATAATTCTGCCCATCCTTTTGGACTTGCCAAAACTCACTCTACAAGCACACCCACGGTAAGTTGACAGATGTTTTACCGCTCAGTGCCAGGTCTGTAGTTTAGTGTTGGGTTTCGCGGATCTAAAATTTGTCTTTAAAAATGATTGTTAGCCATGCTAGTTAGCCACCTTTTTGTAGCCCGTCCGCTAACTGTGATGCTATCTGTCAAGAAACTTCCAGATTTGCTGTCATATTGAACACCAACTTGATGTCTGTTTTGTCAGAAAACACACTGACTCTCTTGAAAACAAATATTCGCAGAAAAGAATTGAGTTATGATTAGCAAAAGTGAACAAGTTTTTAGAGTGCGCTAATGATGGAACACAGCTTTTACGGGAGCACATTAAGGGTCCTTGGAGTTTTAGACTGTTTACAGTTATCGTTTAAGATTTAAACGTGCTCGATAGCTGAAATAATTAACATTTTTATAGTTATGTCCTTTATCGTGGTATTTTAATTAGCTGCTACAACATAGAACACATTTAAACTCCAGATATAAACAGCCAAACACAGTTTAAGGTGAAAAAGTCAGATGGGAATGTCAAAACAAGGTACACCCAAAACAGCGTCACTCAATTTCAGG